AGAGGGGGGAAAAAAGACCAGCCCTCACCCCTCCTCCATACCGTCGCAAAAGGCACTTTCTCGGGCGTGCCCACAGCAGACAGCGAGGACTAAGTCAACAGACAAGGAAGACGTTATCAGTGATCAGTCACTGGAAAATACAGGATGCCACACCCCGCCCTGTCCACTGCATACCACTTGTCACGACGGACTCCTCTCTCTCCCTCTTCTAGTTTTAGTTTTAGTAGAGGTTTTACGGCGCTCGCAACTGCACAAGGTCATGTGATGGCCAGAAGACTAGAGGTGTTACAAGAGAGTAACAGACATTAAAAAGAAGAAGGGGAGATAAGGACAATAGATGTGTTTGATAGGAAATTAGGAGCAAACCACACCAGAGCACCCGCCAACCACCCACTCTCCCTCTTCTATAGCCCTTACACAAACAGAACAAGAAGAAACAACCCCAAAAATGCCCGAAAAGAGAAAAACAGTAGCACAAAAAACAACATAACAGACCAACGGCAAAAAACCACATAAATATAAAGAGACCAACAAACAAACCCATAAACACAAGCAACAACATACCCCAAGAGCAGAAACAGACCAAGGAAAAAAATCAACATAAAAATAATCAGATGAACAAACAAACCCATAAACATCAGATGGCACAGGAACACACCCATAAACAGATCACCAAAAACAACGCACATAAACTAAAAAAGGATTAACAAAAATAGAAACTCGAACAACCATCAGACACCAAAAACAAAAGCAAAAACATCATGTCTGACTTTGAGTATGGAGAAGCACATTGACACAACAACGGTCATGTAGTGCTGGGAACAAGTAAGACAGACAGACAGAAATCAACAACAGAGGGAAAAGGAAATTAAAGAAGATGGAGGACTACCAGTGGTGCCCTTCAACCACCTGCCAACCATTTTCAAAAAATTTTTGTTTTTATACTAGAGGGTTTTACTGTACTTGCAACACATTAAGATCATATGAGTGCCGAAGATTAGAGGTGTTACACGAGAGTAACAAACATAAAAAGAAGGGGAGATAAAAACGATAGATGTTCGATAGAGAAGAAGAAGCAAACCACACCAGAGCACCTGCCAACCCCCCCCCCCCCCTGAATTTTGTTGTTACATTGCAGCCGATCGGTTGGGCAGTCTGTAACGTGTACATCCCGCTGGTGAGAAAATTCTCGTTTGTTTGGTTTAGTTTTAGTAAGAGTTTTATGGCACTTCAACACAATAAGGTCATATAAGCGCCCAAGATTACAGGTGTTACAAGAGACTAACGAACACAAAATAGAAGGAGGGGAAATAAGGACAATAGACGTTTGAAAAGAAAGAAGGAGCAAACCACATCAGAGTACCCGCCAACCACCCGCAGGATTTTGAAGGTTACAGACGTGACAAAAGACGCTGGGCTGGAAACTTGAAACAAGGCAAAACGGGGCGCGACGTAGTGTGTAGTCTACAGTACTAATAGTAGCAGTCTTCTTATTGCGTCTTGGCAATGCGTGAATAAACACACGGATGAAACATTTCTACCACTAGATCTAGACCTAGTCCAACACCCCAACGATTGTCATCAGCAGAAAGGACCCCGCTCAAGGCTCTTCTGTTCTTTGTCAGTTATACAAACATCGTAAGCAATCTATCTATCTATCTATCTATCTATCTATCTATCTATCTATCTATCTATCTATC